TTAACCTGATCTCTTCAGAATAACCCACGCTGCATCAAAAGCAATATGCCAGACAATAGCGACCATTCAACTTTAGAGACGCTTTCTGTGTAAGAATAGACGAGTTCCGAAACAAACTTTTACCTTTTCACTCATTGTGCTTTTAGTGAGTTAAAGCATCAACTCACCAACGGTAAGATCGCATGGTTCTGTGCTCTGATCAACACAGTAATAGCTTATAAATGCTAGCCTGAGTAACCGCTGACTCTTTTTAAACATTTCAACTGGCGACCAACAAAGGGTAAACCCCCAAAGTGGTTGGTCCTGATCAACACCAGCTCCATTTCGATAAGAAACAGCAAACTGGTATATGGTTTATGGAATCCTCACATTGCTGGACGGGATCTCGAGAGAACAACAGCAACAACAATCACAATTTTTGGTCGATTAGTCAACACGCCCAGAGTGCACTAGGACAGATTACCAAATTTGACAGTCAGGCCGAGGTACATTGGATGCTGGATTCAATCGTGATCCCAACTGAGAAGAAGAGAAGTTTGAACAAGCGAAAGAATCAGCGTGAGTGTATTTACGAGTAGACACGCACACAGGAGCGCGCAAGCACGTGGACGTGAATATAAGAAATAAGCAACAATATGAAATTCAGGTCATTTTGGAGTCGCACCATCACCATCGGGAAACTGAAAGTTTTGGGTATTGGGGTTGTTGGTAAAAGATTGGCGTAACTGTTCGATAAGTTGTGGATTACTGTCTCGCAGTTGCTGACCTAGTTGTTGACATCTGTAACGGAAAGACAGAAAAGAGGCGTCACTATGACTTCGCATTCCAGAGTTATTCAATAGTGGTTCTAGATAACTAAGTTGTGCAGGACCTGTGAGGTTCAAGGTACACCATAGCATTAATCCAGGAACAACCGGAGTGTTGACTTCATTTCAGTACAAAAATTCCGAAAGACGATCTAAATTGATCACCGGATGGAAGCAGCATATATAAGTGCGGCCCGTTGAATTCATCAGTTCGCTTGCAAGCTGACTGACCAGACAGGTTTTCCTTAGAATTCACCGAAATTGGCCGAGTGAATTTCTAATGCTGATTGATTTACTTGTTTGAAAGATTAAATTCGTTTGAATGAACGTATGAACGTCAGTTGCCTCGGTTTCTTGGGACGTCTGTATGCATTCGAAAACGATAGATCTTGGTTCAGCTAACGTATCCGATATCCCAAAAGCTGGCTTCCTGGTTTTCCCCCATAGTGATAGACCGAAAAATACCGTACTGCCGATTTATATTCATTCCGAACAGGAATAATACAGATCTGCATGCTAGTTTATTTTCGAATGTACTCATGGAGTTCAACTGACACGGGGAAGCGCAGTTCATCAACATGAACAAAAATCAACTATGCACAGTATACGAAAATCGGGACACGTGATTACACTGCTTTGCAACTGGCGGATCTAGGCTAGACCTGTGTGTAATTGGTTCAAATGGGGTTCTCATCTCACCAAATGTGTTCGATCGATCATTCAAAACAGAAGAGCAGTGTCATTCATTCATCAAATGGTATGTACGACTTGTGAAAAACCGCACGAGATATATGTCAAGTTTGAACCCAAAGAACGAAATTACTTACATCTTGTTGGAAAATTACGAATTCGCTCACAGTTTCCAATTTATCTCAGGGTTTGTAATCTCAATGAGTATTTTTGACACGGAACAGTCCAATCCAAACAGACATCAAACAACTTGCTCGATCACGATTAACCGGTCACAAATGAAGTACACAATCAGAACTGTATAAGGGGAATGAGCATTTCATTCGATTGGAGCAACATGCGAGTGCACGGACGTGACCAGTGAAGACTACTACATGCACTCTCTACGCTTAAAACACACACGTACATACACAAACACACAGGAGATAGGCATCATTTTCGTTCAAATAGACTCAATGCAATGTGACCACTTTTCTTCGCTGGACCCGGTCGTGACCAGGCGAAACGAGGGGAGCCGATCAATTGAAACCTGAAGTAGTTACATTGCACCCGAGGATCGAGACAGTTACGAATCCAATCAACAAATTCTGGAACCAACAGAGACATGGGTGTATGCCAGTCTGAAATCAAACCATACATGGTGGATTTGGACGCCGTGGTTTGCATCGATCGACAAGGCAGACAATGCTCGAATCCTTGTGAGTAACACATGCAAGATAAAGTTTAGATGCAATCAGCCAACTTAGATCGTTCCAAACAAAACATGAGACAATCGTGGTACACCACAAAGGAATTAACGCAGTTTTAAAAAAGATCACAGTAAGGTAATTGTATGAAGAAAAAAGCAGTAGAAGAGAGAATGAGCTCATCAGTGGTATACTAACTACTTCCGGTGTTACCGGGATTGCCTGGGGGGTATAATTATTAACTGTGCAGAACAACTGGAAACGGTTTGTTATACGCTGGAAAACTAAGCGACTAAGAAAAATTGATGAACATCACAAAAACCGGCGTGATCAATCTGTCATTCGCATACAGTACTGTGTGTGTACTGAAAAAAATAAGCAGCTCTGTAGCCTGTTGCACAGTGGGGCTTTGGAGGGATCTTTTGTCAGTTCCACCAAAACCATGTCGGTGTGAAGTCGCATCAGATGACGCTTATTTGAGTTTCATAAAAAAAAGTAGGCTAACTGATCTACGTTATTCAGGAACAGCTTGCAAACAACGATCGTGTAAGCTGTTCCTTTGAGTGAACTTGAGCAAACAAAAGACATGACTGTATTTTGTTTCATTTCATCAGATATCAAGTTTAGTGAGTTGGGATCAGATATCTGAGTGAGAAAATAAGACGATCAATGGTGACGTTTTTAGTTGATCCAGATCAAACTCAGACAGAGGACCTTTAATCAGAAAGCCAAATGTCTATGACGTCATATTCAAGCTTATGGTAGAAATAAACTTGTAATGAGTACACATGTTGATTGGCCCAAACTTCATTCAATTGAGATATGTGATCAGTTTAGAGCAACATTACATTTAGACCCCGAGGACGCGGATCTACATCCGTAGCAGTTAGGATCGAAAACTAAACATTTGCACTATCGAAATCGAGCAAAATGAATTTAAACTAAAGCGCTATCGTGCGTCGTTTGGATACAGAATGGCTGCATCAGTTTCTAACATGAACCTTCGTCAGTTCAATCGTCTGGAACAAATTTTCCCCACGTCTTTTCGTCAAGTTACAGACAGAACACAGTCACTAGTCCGACAGTCAATACCCTTTCTTGAAACGACTTATAGACTGAGGGACTAGCGCCGCGCCAGTTCCGTCCGCAGCAATAAGTCTCGACATTTTATTACTCAAACCAAAACGTAACACCACTATTAAAATTTTGTCTAAATTTCAAAATGAGGTTACTGTTGTAATGAGAACGCATGTCAACATTTGTTGTCAGCGAGTTTATTCTCTCAGTCCATCACAATCAGATTTAGGCGAAAAAAATGGGATGGGGTTGTGGTGGGATCAAACAGTCTAGGGGAATTAACGATCGATCAATTAGATTACCAGTATAGACACGTGGACGACAGTCTGTATGCCCGAGGAAACTTCGGACCGGAATGGCATTTTATTAACATTTACCATGGAACACTCAGCGGATCGACTCACTCAGCTGAGAAGGAAGAAAACAACAAATAACGAACTATTGTGTTCCGCTGAGCACAAAGTGAAACTAGATTCTCGTTTTTTCGCCACTTTGTGATATGGTGTGCAAGCAGAAGTGGCCGGTGAGATCCAGAAACAGACATTGATGCCTATCCGGCCAACATGCCCAAAGCAGGAACGTCGTGAATTCACCGGTGTGGCTCGGAATTCACAGTGCTGATAACTAACTATTTGGAACAAAGATAGAGATTTCGGTTACCCGCGCTGAAGGCACGNGGAACAAGAGAAATAGTACACAAACTGTTGATGAGTTCCACCAAAAACGGACGAGTGTAAAACGGGCCAGTAATGCTGTTTATTGGTCATTATGCACAATTTAAATATGAACTATTTATTCGACGACGTCACTTGTGACTGGAAATGTTAAAACACATGGATGCAGTCACCATATCCAATTACCACTTGGAAAAACAAACGAGTCATTTGGATGATCAAGATGCCCAGAACTGATCACCAGCGAGTTCGAGAAGTTAATTTCAATATTACAATCCCTTTATGCTAATAACCGAAGCCGAGTCCGAGCTTACGGCACACTTCCGCCCCGAGTTCACCACGGAAAGTGGTGCTCGTCAGTGTTGCTTTCTTTCTACCTTTCCTCTTAAACTTTGTTGTAGATTTGATAATGGAAACAGGCCTATCCTCGTGCGAAGACAGTGGCATCGATTTACTCCTAGATGGCAGACTGCCTGATTTAGAGTATGCAGACGACATTATGCTACTAAGTGAAGACCTAGGTAAGTTGCAAGCATTTCTGGATAGTTTGAGTGCTAGTGTAACCATGTTCGGTATGAGTTTTGCACCTTCAAAGTGTATAATGTTACTTCAAGACTGGGTTGGTCAAGCACCCAGGTTTACTCTAACTGGGGAAATAATCGGGCAAGTGGATAAGTTTTGTTACTTGGGCAGCTACATCCCACCCGGTGGACGCATCACGGATGGAGTGCCAGCTCGCATACAGAAGGCTCGGTTGGCAGTTGCCAACTTGATACATCTGTGGTGCCGTCGCGACGTCCGGCTGTCTGTTAAGAGTTCAGCAGCTGCAGCAGTTCGACCAGTTCTGCTAGATGGAGCAGAAACGTGGCCATTAAGAAAACAGGATAAAGATAGACCGATGTCTGAACACCGCTGTCTACGTAGCATTGCACCAAGTTGGTGAGGCAGCCGGACTAGCCATGCTGAAGTTAGTCGCGAGCGATGTTCCTCGAGGCAGGTAGTGGGTGGAATAAAGTCAAGGGTGATCAAGCTAAGACCTGGCATGAGGGTATGAAAACCCTAAA